GCCACGGAGATCACTTCCATCGGCGCGGGCGGTTTCCACGGTCGGACCGCGGGAGATTAGTCGCTTGATCTGAATCTCGGAGAATGGACGTCTCCGCTGATGCGGAAAGAAGGCGCGGAAGGGTTAAGAGCTCGAGGATATCCTGCTGGATCGAGAGAGCGGGGGAGACGTGTTGGTGGATTGTCACGAGACTCGGAGCAAAATCGAGGACACTCGGTCGAGGAGACTCGACGGCCTCGATCGCTCCGTTGGAAAAATTCACTTCTTCATACGTTCGCCCGCACTCTCGCGTCGCACTCGTGAACGGAGAAAAGCTCCGCGGCGAAATGTTTTCCCTTCTGTTTCCACGTTCTTTCAACCGCAATGCTTCAAACGGACTGACCTTTGACCTTTTGTGTGCGAAGCACACTCGAGAGCCAAACGATTGCTGAATATTTTCCACGTGCGTCGATCGATGAAGAAAAATAACTTCTTGCGGGAAATCGCGAAGCAGTGGACCGAGAGACAAAGATGAAAAATTTTCTCTCCACCGCGTGGCGTTGTTGAAACATTTAAATAAACAGGAATGCAAGTGCAGCACCTCCTGCAACCGTAGCGATGACTGTCGCTGTCGTGTCGGCGCGGCCGCGATGCAGGCTGAAGACATTCAGACACCGCAACATTCGAGAGCTCAACATAATATTATGCGACGCAGCGTGCGCGCGTGTAACGTTAATCCGCAGGAAAGGGTCGATCTCGACGCGCGGTATCTATATATTTCTCATCTTTCAACAGCTCCTTCTCATTGATTCCCCAAAGGGCTGCACGGCGGCCACATAGAGTAGCTAACGATTCGCAGCGGTGACCCCTTTCACCTCTATCTCGCCGACATCTCCCTTGTCTGCGCGCGGGATCGTCGACGCGCGTCCGCAGGATAGCGCGGGAAACGTCGGAGGAAAAGGCGTACGTCGCGACGTCGACGTCCATTGTTGAGTAAATAGACTCGTTTGTTGTCTATTGGCGGCCATTGGCGATACCTGACGGCCGCTTTCGCACTCTTCCGTGGAGTCGAAGAAACGGCATAATAGGTGGGCTAGATCGTCGCTCGCCAATTGGCCGCTGGGAAGATGATTTTCCACGCGAGGTGAGAGGCAAGGAATGACGACGCCGCAGTTATCCAAGCCAAAAGTTTCCCAAAGTCTCGAAGGAAGTGTGTCGAATGTGCGGCATGTTCTCGCAATGATGAAGTCATCAGTGCGAATTCCTGCGATTCGTCTCAGTTTCGTTCCGATTGTCACCGCTTCGATGGTGGTCTTATGGACAGGCTTTAAGGGGACTGGAGGGTCAGATTGCTGAAAAATCGTGCTTGTTTTTGACGCAATACTTTGCGATGAGCCGAATAAATGTGCAAGAATGAAAATTTTAGGTATATATTTGTACAACATGTGAAAAGTAGAAAAATTTTATTTTTATTAACAAATACTCATATAAATATACGATATATATATAGCTGAAATATACTCTCCTTTCTTTTTCAAGTTGTCGTCTTTGCAGTAATATCTCGGCTCTCGGTGGCCCGGTCAGAGCGAGTTTTAGCTAGAAATCTTAAGGAGGCTTATCATTATCCAGCGGAGCACTAAATAAAAATAAAAAAGAATCGAACAAAATTAACAAAATGGCAGCTATTATTAGAAAAAAATTCAAATTTTTCAGTTCTTTTACAATAAAAAAATTAATATCTCGGAATGAAATATTTTGACGGAGTTGTCCATGGTTGACCTGAGAGCCAGATGAACAAATATTATTGCTTTAAAATTTCAAATCGATACGAAGCTCAGTTTCGGAGAAATCACTGCAGAAAGTTGAACAATAAAATTTCGAGGAAAACGCGTTTAAAATTCAAGTGGATGTATATTTATATGAGTGTTTGTTAATAAACAAAATTTTTCTACTCTTCACATGTTATATAAATATATCTGAAATTTTCGTTCTCGCACATTTATTCAGTTCGTCACAAAATATTATCAAAAAACAAGCACGATTTTTCAGTAACCTGACCCTCCAGTCCCCTTAAGGGCGGCCGTTGAAGCGATCGTCTGTTTAAGAGATTGTTGAGGAGATAGCAACGATGGTCTCAATGATGATCCAACCGTTCGCACGCCAAGCAGCGCGGTCGCGCTTCTTCGTTCGAGAAATGCCAACGAATGTTATCAATTTGCTGAGATTATAAAGACGTCGAATTTGTTGAAAGAGGAGGGGATTCCAGCCCCGGAAAAAGTCGAATCACTCGAGTGATTCTCACGCATGTAGAGTGGATTCTCCGGATCGAGTCGTCTGGTGAATATCTTCACTTGAACTCGAGATGCGAATCTCTCGTGTATTTCAACATTTCGAGAACAAACTCATTCTAATCGGTCGAAATGTTTCACAGCAAGAAACTCGGAAATCACACAAGGCTGTTCCTTGATCCGTGATCCACGGTTTCATCTGTGTAACTTCAACTATCACTGCAGAGTAAACCGCAAGATGTTTTCGAAGTTTCCGTTGGTGAAAATTCGAGAAAAAAGCGAGGAGAAATGTTAGGCCTTGCAGCAATGACATGCATGAAAATACAATAATACGTCGACACGAAATCTTTTGTGCTTTTCTCTTGTATTTTTTCCTGGACTTAATAGCGTTTTCTAGGCTTCTCCTTTTTTACCTTTCTCGTGTTTTTCTTTTATATTGCCTTTTTTGTATGTTCCCTTTTGTTTGTATTTGCCCTCCATATTTTGTAAACTAATCAACGTCAAAATCCGGTACCTTACCGGCAAAATACCATTGTAAAAACGATTATTTGTAAAAACTTCTATTGTCGTACATTTCTTCTCGCCGTATTTTCAGGGTACGCAGATGACAAACATTTTCCTTTCCTCATAAATCTGTAGAATTTAGTCCTCGGATCCTCGGATGCTCGATGTAAGCGGCCACTGTGCGCATTTGCCGAAAAAACGTTGAACGTTGGAAGATAAAATCTTGTCATTATTCTTTTCTGTCTACACGCCATTCGTTTGGACTACTACTATGTGGCATCTCAACGCGGTTGAAAATGCCATTTACGAGCAAATGATAAATCGTATCGATGACGCTTTTGGGAACGGCAGCCATTATGAGCATATATGACAAATGGTCGGCGAGATTATCCGTTTGCCGATTTGAAGAATGCACCTATCGTGCAGCTCCAACATTCTTTGCTGACCAACACGGCCGAAGATATGATCTATGATCACAGCAAGATCTTCGTCGAGATTTACGAACAGCCCAAGAACCCAAACTTCTCCCGCCCATTCTCAAACGCGTCGAATAGCAATTAAAGTCACGACTCGAGGCGTCGAGGGGTTAAACGTGAAGCCTCAACTCGGAGAGATTGCCGCGAGCAAAGTGTGCGGCGAAATCCGAGATTTACAAAATAAACACGGATTTTTTCAGAGTGAAAGTATAACACGAGTTGGCAAACGCAAAATCCGAATCCGAATTAAGTCAGAATTACTTGAGTTTTAGCGTAGCCTTGAGGGTAAAGACAAGAATCCCGACAAAAAATAATACACTTATCGTCGCACAAAGTATCTCAACAATAGCAGATAACGCGTTAGACGGGGTTGTTGATGCTTGCCAATATCCATGGAGTGGTCATCGTCGCAACAAACGTCTTTCTTCTTTATCTCTGAGTTAGTCCTGTTGGGACATAATAGGCTCAAAATAATACCTCGGGATTAAGTTTGTATAACTTAACGCGACTGCCGTCGCTTAAGCTGCCCTCTTCAGGGCAGCCGAATCCGATCTTACACGAGGGAAAGAAAAGCGCCGCTGAGCTTAAGTAGAACGAAAACAGCTATTATGAAGACAGCGTCAAAAGCGTTTCGACGTAAAATCGCCTGGCGGCGATAGAAGCCGAAGAATGCCAATCGCCAAATTAATGCATATATCTATAAAACATTTAATCGTTCAAACTGCCCGAACATTTCAGTTTACTTTGTAATCTTATGAACGAATCAGTGAAAACTAATAAAAAAAAAAAAGAAACTTATATATCATAAACATTTAACTCTCTCGATAACGTCTTCGTCTTGATGGCCGCAACGGAACCATCGAGGCCACAACAAGTACTACAAAAAGTATGAATGAACGGGAACGATTCGACGTTACTACGCGATGATCGTCCGACGCATTTGCGCTAGCACGTTCCTGTAAACATGTTTTGAGCGCACAAGCGGACCGCGACAATGCGCAGCGCAAAATATACGCGACAACAATGCGTCTGGCAAGGTTGCCGCGGGTATGACATTTACCTCGCGCGCAAGCTCTATAGCAGCTTTGTCACGGCGACTCGATTCAACAAACGACGACGATGAAGTCGATGCACCAGGTGCGCGAGCGGCGTGTTCTGCAACAAGCGTCCCCGTCATCTTCATATTCAGCCGTGCTATGAATCCGAAGTTGAACGTTCCTCTCTCTCTCTCTCTCTCTCTCTCTCACACCGTGAAAGACACTCGCGTATTACTCACACACTCGCACGCGCGCACGCACACACAGGCGCGACAATACAAGCTCAGCACAGTGTGTGTATGTGCGCGCATCTCTCATCTCTCCCGCTGATCCTGCGCCGCGACGCTCGCGGCGTCCAAGAACGTGCCAATCCTGTAGGGAGGGCGTATAGACGCGGGCACAGCGGCGTTGGATTTGTTTGCACACGTGGAGATGCACGTTTAGTTGCGGCTGCGCTCCCCACCACGGCGAGAACGCCAGGTCGATGTTGCCCCTGCGCTCCTGGCTTGGCACCTTCGAAATCCCTGCCTTCGCGTGGCCCTGCGTCACTTGCATTGTTTGCTGTCAAACATTGGGCGCAAAATGCCGTGGTGGGGTCCAGCAACGATGCTAGTGCGGGCCGCGTCGATTGGTCGGCTCACTCTTCAGGGTACGTCGGGTCGATGCTGGTGGGCGGGCTCGAGAACTCGGTATAAATATAAACGTGGCGGGGATGCCGTCAGAAACGCGGTATACCTCGTTGGTGAGCGTCAGTCCGCTAGCTGCTGTGGCGTAGGTACTTCGGTGGTATGATGCCGCGGAGCTGAGCGAGGGAACCCACGGACTGCCGCAACTGTGTGTTATTGTTATTGTTTTTATTGTTGTTGTTTGTTGTTGTGCTCGGCTCCATGTGGAGGGCGGCTCCACAGCGTGTAAGTCGGCCTGCGAATGAAAATGGAAGTTCCCCGATGAGGAATTGTCGTGCTTCTGCAGACTGTCGTCTATAGCCGAGGTTGCTCTAGGAACTTTGGGGTACAGTGGGGTATTGTAGATGATCGACGCGTGATCCGCTGGACGGTGTCAAGCGACGAGTTCAATTCAACGGTGCGACGACGACACGCCAGCGAAGCATGGTGAATATGGAAGCTTCAAACGAGCAACACACGGTAACGGCCTCGCCGCCACCGCCACGAGCTGCCCTGAAGAGCAACTTCAGTATACGCAGCATCTTACCCGAGGCCTGCGCGCCGTTACCGTCGGCCAGCGACTCGGTCTCCCCTGAAGCGAATCAGGCGGACGACAGGGTTGACGACAGCGACGGCAGCAGCGACCTGGACGTGATCGGCGGCGGCACCGAGACCCCACCGTTGGACTGCTCCAGGAACGCGACCTCGGTCAGCCCGACGAGTCAAAAGGACTCGAAGGAGCAGGCGGACGATAAGAAGAAATCGGAGAAATCAGAGAAGCCGCCGTACAGCTACAACGCGCTCATCATGATGGCGATCCGCCAGAGCCCCGAGAAACGACTCACCTTGAACGGTATTTACGAATACATAATGCGTCACTTTCCCTATTACGAGAACAACAAACAAGGCTGGCAGAATTCGATACGGCACAATCTCTCATTAAACAAATGCTTCGTCAAAGTTCCCCGTCACTACGACGATCCGGGCAAAGGTAACTATTGGATGCTGGACCCCAGCTCAGAAGATGTGTTCATCGGCGGTACGACCGGCAAGCTGCGACGCAGGACCACGGCGGCCTCGAGGTCTCGTCTGGCTGCCTACAAACGGTGCGCCGCGTTCAGCGGGCTTTATCCGACGCCTTACGCATCACCGGTCTGGCCATCGACCATCTATACCTTGCCGTATCTCCATCGCCCGCCGTATCATTCGGCTACCGCCGCCTACACCACCCCCGCTGGATACCCAGCCAGTTTATTGCCCGGCGCGGCCACCACGTCGACCACTGGACTGCCGTGCAAGCCGCAACCTCTGCCGGCGACGGCGGCACCACCAGCGCATGGCACCTTCTCCGTGGAGAGACTGCTGCACGGTCCTTCAGGCTACACCAGCAGTTTCCCCGGAGCCGCGATAGCGCCGTCTTATGATTTTTACAACACCCTGAGGTCTATCGCGGTGCAGCAGCAGCAGGCGGTGTTCAGTCATCAGTCCAGGTATCACCTCGGCCAGCCGCCAGTGTTAACCCAGTCCACGTCGAGCACAGCCTCGCCTGGAAGCAGCCCGGAGCCAATGCCGACGCACTCGCCGCCGGTTATGGTCAGCAATTCCGTCCAGCCGACGAGACCCGCGCTGCCCCACAGCACGGCGCAGATACTTTTAAAGCCCATCACGGTCCTCACCGGCCGGCCAGGGCCGGGTTGAAGAGGGAACTCGAGGGAGCTCGAGGAAGTGTGACTCGGCTTCTCTTGGAGAGTGTATTGTGGCAGCGTAGGGGGTTACCTTCATCGGTATCCCCGCCGGCACGAGGAGACGCATACGCGCAGCGTTGGCGAAAAAGAGTACGTGTTTCTTATTCTTCTAGCCGTGTCGCAACATATCCAAAGTCTATCGGGATCGGTGAGGAACACTTCCATGCGTTCTCTTGTGTGAAAGAACACCTCGTTAATTTATTTCGACGGGCCATCGGCATATGTTGGCCTGTCGTTCGTTCTTTCATGGCTCCGTCTTTTGTGTCCTCCCTTCTCTGTACGCTTGTACATGAGTGAGTAATATCGTACATTTTACTTAGAACGTAAGCGAAGGATCGCACGGATTTACGTCGTCGGGATTTGCCATTATTATCCGTCCCGCTGTGCATCGGTCCGCTGTCGCGTCGATATTCGCATGTGGAGTGTCATTTCTGTCTCTCTGCGATCTTCTTGTAAATAATAATCCTGAACGCTATATGGCTACATCGTAAGTACCAGTTACGAGGGAATGCGGTCGAGCATCTCGAGCTCTACGAGTTCGTGCAACTATTTTCGTCAAACGGCTACGTCACGCTTGACGACTTGGATACGCGGAAATATTCGATCGTCATATCAGCATCAATTCAATCGTCAATCCGCCGCGTTCCGCTATCTTTCTGCCAAATTCAACAAAATTTACTGACAAAAGAATGCAGCATAAAATTAGTTAAATACAAAAAAAAATAATTTTTCCGCGTGCATACGTGCATCTCGCGTCGTGAGGGAGACGATGTAGCGATTAAAAGCAGACGAGAAAAAGGCCTTCCTCGGGAGTCACTTCTCGAGCAGGACCTTTTCGAAAAATGGGGGTACCAAAGAAGCGTGTGAATCTTTCCGCACGGATCTAGAATTCGTGGCACAATTACGATGTAATTCTATTGTCAACATTGCGCTATATATATATCACTAATCATTTTTTTGTTCCTTGTATCGACTCGTTTCGGTGTGTGTGTGTGTGTGTGTGTGTGTGTGTGTGTGTGTGCGGAATATCTGGCAATTAATGACACGACACTCGTGCGCAGCCAGGTCGTATCAAATTGAACAGGAGAGTCCTCTGCCACGTTGTAAATTCTGTAATAGTTATCGTGGAAGTAATTAACAAGTAATAGTATAGTCATAGAGTAAAAACGAAGATAGCACTTAACGCAACTTAACGCAGAACAAAAAAGGTATATAAATAAAAAATGATACATAAAAAGATAAAAAATCAAAAAATAACAAACGTGTAAAAAAAGAGTAGTTAAGGACACAAGTAGAGGACTTTCCGATTCAGTTCGATACGACTTGCCTGAAAACAAGTGCCGTATCAACAATCGCCAGAAACTATACATTTATTCATCGCCGCGTATTATTTTTACTGTTAACCTTTGCATGGATTAGGATTAGATAGGATTAAGACAAGATATTCAGTACAGATTTTAACGAGCGACATACTATTATTTCACTTCTGAAGGCAGGGAGCCTTTTTATGAAGCAACATGTGTAAAAACATCTGTAAATATGTAAATTTAAGGAGGGATGTAAAAATCTAGAAGAAGTGAAACGAGCAAAGTGATCGCGATTGTGACTCACGCAAGAAAGCACATACGGTTGAAGATTATAGCGGGCGTGGACTACTGATGGGTCTTATATTTATTATCGATGATGATAATGTAACAATAAGCAATAGTATTGGTGCAACAACGTGCGGTGTGGCATATTCGTGAAGACACAGGCTGATACTTTCTCCCGGGTTTGTGTGTGTGTTAACGATCAGAGTCAAATTTATTTACATCATTCTAGAAATATCTGAGTCAATTTTTCTGGCCGTCGATAACGTCGATGATTTTAGCAATTTAACCTCTACGTTACAAATGAATTGATTTTATGAGAGAGATCGCTTCCAGGAAAACGTAAGCCGGGACGAGGTGTGCAATTCGTGTCTTTATTGCGCTGAACGTTGTTATACGTTAATAATTATCTTACATCAGTATGCATTATATTATAATCCCGATAATAAATCAATAGGTCTACAGTCACCCGCGACCGCTAAACGCTTTAACAATTTAGCTCTCCGAGTGAGCCTTGAGATTGTGATCCTTTGTGATATACGCAGTTGTTTCCTTCGAAACAACTGCACTAGCGTGTTTGTAAATACCTAGGTAGTTCAATAACATTGTAATTCTTGATCTCCTATCGATAGTGTAATAGCATGTACAGATATATCGTTGGAATGTTCATCAGTCGGATTTATATTGTTGCGTCCCCGCGTTCTCGAGGACGAAAATCATTTCGAGAGTTTATGTCTACCGTAGGTCTTGGTGTGAACGTGGCGTCCAGCGTTGGGCAAAAAAAAAAAAAAACAAGAAAAACGTCGTATACATCCTGAGTTGACTTACGTATATAACTTACGTATATAAATTACTATGTTAAATTATTATGTAATTAAATAGCTTTTGGCTATTTAAAAGAGAAGGAAACAGTTCAGAAACACATGTGAACATTTATACAGAGCGGTACTGTAAGTATCGTCAGGATACAAAGAGTTAGAAACAACAGCTGAAAAGAGAAATCGCACACTCAGAGTCGAGCTGTGAAGTGTGGCGAATCCGAGACTACGAGATTCCGATTATCTTTAACATGCTGTAAATATAAGCTTATTAAACGTTTGAGTCTCTTTTATAAGAAAAAAAACGTGTGTACTTTTATTCCCAGACGTGTGTGCGTGCGCGAGCGAGCGCAACAATATATAGCCGGATATATAGTTTGCAAAATCATTACGTGACTTGTTGTTACAGTCGATAAAGATACGATAAATAATGTATTATATATACATACGAGTACATATACATGCGCGTACCGTGTCTCCGCGTGTCGGATAAACGCTCCGGAAAGGCATGTGTATAAAGACAACGTCGAAATAAATGTGCGAACTTTTTTTTAAACAACTCAACGGGTTGGAATTATTGAAGGTTATCCAGCTCGTTTATACCGATAGGCCTTTTACCTGCTACCTCTCCCCTTTCCCCTGTCTAACTTTCCCTTCCCTGTGATAATTTTCATCTGTGCCAATATATTATAGATTGCAAATGTTACAAGTACATCTCAATCGCGCATTCGTATAAATTATATCGGGGTTCTTCCCGTGTCGCGTGTTGAAACGAAAACTTATTCGACGCATTTATCACCGCGAAGATTATCGGTTTAACGGATAACGTTTTATGATAACGGAATTACAATGCCACTTTGGATTGGACGGATTGATATTTTTATTTATTAAATTTTTCAGCACGATCACGCACGCGCATATTACGGCGAAAATCAGTCGTGAGAAAAAATTTGGCGTGAACAGAAAGCCAGCTAAAATGCGCTCAAATGCGTGGCGGAGGTGTTGGACTTGTTTGAGTACGGGACGCGATATTTTGTAAATACAAGGCCATATTTCTCTGTGGTAAATCACCTGCCTATTGAAACAAATCAGCAATACTCGGCCGTACTATAAAACGCCAACTGCGAAGCTAAAAAAAACTGCGTCGGTCACCCAAACATGGACCAGGATAAAACAAACTCTTCCTCTCTCTCTCTCTCTCTCTCTCTCTCTCTCTGAGAGCGGACAATAGCCTAATGCCCAGCAATAAACGACCTAGCCTCGAGACACCTCAATAAAACATCTTTAGTGCTGCAATATACCTTCTAATACTTTTCTAGTTTTTATGAGTGCCTTAAATCCTCGGCACACAAAGGACAAGACAATGTTTCCAATATTCCGCTTCGCGCGTATCTTTAGAAATCAAGCAACGTTACACACAACTTCAGACCCCTCTCCCTGAGGGAAAGAGCGAACTAAAGGGAAACTTTTTTCCCCCGAGATCCCGGGGATTGCCAGGATATGCAAGCCAGGCTGAGCAGACAGATCTCTCTCTCTCTCTCTCTCTCTCTCTCTCTCTCTCTCTCTCTCTCTCTCTCTCTCTCTCTCTCTCTCTCTCTCTCTCTCTCTCTCTCGAGCGCTAAAAATGCTTTCGACTTTGAATCATACGAATCGAGAGTGCAAACGCGGAAAATGACCTTCGCACTTGTTGATATCGGCGAAGACGGAAGAAACACAATCTCACCTCGTGGCGATCTAACGAGTTTCTATGAAAACCGAGAGCTGCGCGGGGAGGGTTGTGTGAAGATTCCTTGCAAGCGGTGCGGCGAGGAAGCGACGTGCACACGATCCAGGAGCGTGTTGCCGGTCGGTACGAGCAGGCGCGATATTGGTATGATACATTGAGACAATGAGGCGTAAATAAGATAATGGCGCGCGCTCGCGTACGTCCAACGGGAATTTAAACGTCCGAAGGGCCGGGAGGAGAACGAGGGAGGGAGGGAGAGAGAGAGAGAGAAGGAGAGAGAGAGAGAGGAGAGAGAGAGAGAGAGAGAGAAGGAGAGAGAGAGAGAGAGAGAGAGAGAGATAGAGAGTGCCGACCGGTTAGGATCGGCAGATGGGATTGTGACCCGCGCGGCCTGCCCACCGCCAGACGTGCTCGGCATCCTTATACCTTCAAGTACCCAACACGGCGGTTTAGTCCGCCGGGTACGCGAATCTCGTTAACCCCCCTCAACCCCGTATTTTTCCGACGGAGCGAGCGTCGCCTCCGCCGGGCTTCGGCGCTTTCGAGCGTCGGGCTCGAGATTTTCATCGCGACCTCGACAAATCGCGGATCGTTGATTCAGACGACTTTGTCGATTAGTAACGATTAGCTGACTATAACGATATAATCATCAATATATATGATTTAAGAGAAATATTGAAATATTTAAATATTAAAAAAGATTAAAATATTTAAATGATTTACAACCTCGAATATCGCGCTCGTCGCACAACACGTATGGAGTTGCGCGATATTAGAAAAACGATATTTAATACATGTATTTATACGCGAATATCATGTATCGAAATATATTTTAACAAGTGGCGCAAGTGTATTCTCCAAGTATCACTCTCGTAATTTTCAATATTTTTCAGATATCTTGGCGTGATTGTTTTCAATGTATTTTTCGTATCATTCGCGCGCGCGATTCATATCGCGATGAACGCCGCGCAGTCCGACTCGCGGATCGTCGGAAACGATTCGCGCCGATTCGGCAAAATCACTCGCGCCTCGAGGAAGTCGCACGGCGGCGCGGCAAACGGCGGGTGAAAAACGTCACGGCGAATAAAGTTGCAAATACCAGGCGCAATTAGAAGCGATAAAGACGAACGACGTATCCGAGGCAAGGCGAAACCGCGTTGCATAGCGTCACGTAGCCCGAAGGGGACGGTAAACACTTGCGCGGTCAATTGCTACAAGTGGCGAGTTGTCTACGGCACGCATGTTGTTGCTCCTCTACGCATAGGTCGCATAGGTGTTGGTCGCCGTCGGCGAAATAGGTGTTGGTGTTCTTTGCGCGTTCGAGGCAGTGCTCGTGACGCCGCGAGACGTGAACTTCCACGGAATCGTACGTCCGCAATCGCAGCCGTCCCTGTGTTTATCGACGAACGCCGGGCGCGCGCGGCACACGTAAACTCGCATATTCGATTCGCCGGTCATAAACAAATGATAGGACAGTTCCTCGGAGTCTCGCAGCGCGAGGCTCGAGCTGCGAAGAAATTCAAGTCAATTCGACCGGAAACACTCATAGACCACACACGCTTCTTTTCATCGCCGCTCATTAAGGATCTTTTTCAACTGACGATTTAGACCTCTTTCAGGAGAGAGCAGCTAGAATTTACCGTCGATAGATCAATTCGTCGCGACAAATCATGGCGCGTCGTAGGTGTCTCGGGATAAAATAAAAATTTGATTCGATTGCGGGCACTTCCCGAAGTGAACGTCAACTCGTTCGCTCGAGAGCGCTCGTCTTTGGCGACGGGCGTTTGTTCGATTTAACGTCGAATTTCGAATGAAATCAGCACTCGTTTCGAGGCGGGACGGAATTACACGTGCAAAGCGCGTAAAGTTCTGTAAGTGTTCCTGACGTTTTAGTAAGTAGTCGGTAACTCGCTGAATTACTTTGCGCTATTACATTATTGTCGATGTCGTCAGCGTTATTCGCAAACGTCGACCGCAGCGGCCGACGTGAGGTCTTCCAGAGCCCTCGTGGCACTGTTTGAATCCTACGAACTGTTTAATCCTCGGCGTGCATATCGTTATGGCATTACCGCTACCGCCAGCGCGATGCTCCGCAATGTTGCTTGGCTTCGCCCGCACTTTGCTATCTCGTCTTCAGGTTCGCTCACGCCCCGACTAGAAATTTATCCCATGGTCCTGATCAGATTAACCTCATTTGGACATCAGGTCCCAATAAGGTAATGCTATCGGGTCTTAGTAAGTCATGTAACGTAGCGTGGATATCAGGACCTTAGTAAGGATTCATAGTCAGGTCCTTGTTGAATTATCTTATGGAATCCTTATTACGTTTTTTTTTCAAGTGATGGCTCCTGATTACTCGTCTATATTGGATGATGACATTAGAAACAAGAAATGACACGCTGAGAATTCTTTCGTGTCATTTCCAAATAAAAAGATATTTGCATGAAATAATATTTTAGATCGATTGAGCATACTTGTAAAATGTTTCGGAAAAGAAACATAAAATGAATATCACAAGATAATAAAGTATCGCAATAAAATAGTGTTAAAGAGATGAGTTGCATGTCACGTTAATTTTACAACTATTTATTGACTGCTAAAAAAAGGATAGTTTCTATAGCATTTTACAAATATATTCAAGTGATCCGAAGTGTTTTTTCAATGCAAACATCTTTATACTTGGAAATGACAAAAATTGTTTCGTTAAAATTTGATAATGCAAATCGTATTAGGTACAATGAATAAGATCCCGACAAGGACCTAATTAACTGAACTATATTATATCATACACTAGATCGGTACATTAAGTATCCTAATGTGGACCCAATTATAACCTTATAAAGGTCTTCCTTACTCATTCGTCGTTAGGACCTTATAAGGACTGACTTACTTAGAATTACCTTTCATTCACCCTATTAAGTCCTTATCAATGTTAGGTGAACCTGATCAAAATCTCTAGTCGGGGCGTTGAAATATTTTCACGTCGATGCAACTCGTGCCCACATGTGTTGACATGTCATCGCCTGGAAATGTCGCGTCGAGATGCAAACAGCAATTTTCGTGCGTAACATTGTCTTCGATTGACGAGGACTTTCTAAACAAAAGCGGGGTTTCCGCGAAAATCTCACGCGCCACCATGAAGCGATTCTGAAGCCATTCTGATCGGAGCGGGAAAACGTGTCATGGTCCAACCGAGAACTCTCTCTCACTCTCTCTCTCTCTCTCTCTCTCTCTCTCTCTCTCTCTCTCTCTTTCTCTCTTTTTCGACGCGCAGGGCGGCTCGCCGCGCCGCTGCGAAAATTCATCACTCGTCGAGCGGAAATCTGGACCACCTCACGGCCTACCTACGGTTATTTTGACATCGCCATCTTGCCTATTTACAGAGGGGTTCTCTAACATCTCGATTCCCGATGCGGCGCAGCCAGTCGCGACTCTCGTTCATTCATTCACGGCGTGCGTGCGTGCGTGCGTGCGTGCGTGTGCGTCGCGCGCACATGGGGTGGCGTGTCAATAGATTTCGACGGCGGTGCGTTACATTATTTTCATCGCGCTTTATACCGAGGGGGGTAGATATGTACTCGGTGGGCCCTCGGTGCAGAGAGACGGGCACGCACGCACGCACGTAGCGACGCGCCGATGCCGGGGAGGAGAAGAGAGGGGAGACTAGTTTCGCCTCGGTATACACGTGAGGCGCTCACCCTCGAGCAGGCTCGAGCTCCGGGGGCGAGGCGGGTTTTCGCAGCCTATGGGGATGCGTCCCGGGTGTAATGGTGGTCGATCTGCGGTCTCCGCGCTCTGATCTCAGTCCCGCGGTCGTTGCACGCCAGTTACAT